GGGCTGGTGTGGGGGGGAGTATGGAGAGGGCACAGACCCCCCTCCAGCCCTAGATGTGGGCAGTGGGTCCCCCAGGTCCACTGGCATCCACAGGTGGGTCGGAGGGATCAGGACTTGGGCTGGTGGTGAGGAGGGTTGAGGGTCCCAGTGTGTTCCCCAACCTCTTCCCTGTGGCTGGGCCCTGGGGGTTCTTGGGGAGGGGTCTGGGCATACCCCAGGTCCTCGGTGCCATGGCCCCTCCAGCCCCGCTCTGGGTCCCCGCAGGCTGCCGAGGGGCTCAGGGCAGGTTCGCCTACAAACTGCTCCACGACCTCTTCACCAACTACTCCAGCGCCCTGCGCCCTGTGGAGGACACAGACCGAGCACTCAACGTCACCCTCCAGGTCACCCTGTCCCAGATCATCGACATGGTGAGTGACCGGGAACGGCACCGGCACCGGCAGCTCAGCCAAACCGAGACCGTCTGTGTCACACCCCTGGCCACCCCTTAGCCAGCTCTCCCCCACTGGGTCCTGCCCAACCCAGGTGTGCTGCTCATCCCTCCAGCCCAGCCCAGGCCACTCCAACCCAGCCCAGCTGCCCCCAGGTCAGCTCAGACCATTTGGGAACAGCTTAGAGCCCCCCAGCCCTGCTGGGACAGGACAAGGGGGATGGTTTGGAACTGAATGAAGGAGATTTCGACCAGAGAGAAGGGAGAAATGTTTGGCACTGAGGGTGGTGAGCCCCTGGCCCAGGTTGCCCCGAGAGGTGGTCGCTGCCCCATCCCTGGAATCATTCCAGGGGAGGTTGGCCGGGGCTCTGAGCAACCTGCTCTAGTTGGGGATGTCCCTGCTCCCTGCAGGGGGGTTGGACTGGATGCCCTTGAAAGGTCCCTTCCCACCCAAACCAGTCTCTGATTCTGACCCTAAAACTAGCACAGCCCCTCCTCCAAAATGAGCTCAGGCCATTTGAAAGCAGCTCAGACCTCTCCAGCACCCCTAAACTAGCACAGTCCCCTTAAAGGCAGCTCAGCCCCTGGGACCATTGCAGAGGCCATGGGGCTGGGGGCTGGGGGCAAGTGGGTGGCTCTGGGATCCATCCCCTGCACCCACCCCTCTCCCCTCGGCAGGACGAGAGGAACCAGGTCCTCACCTCCTACCTGTGGGTCCGCCAGGCCTGGCTGGACGCCCACCTCACCTGGGACAAGGATGCCTACGATGGCATCGACAGCATCCGCATCCCCAGCAGCTACGTCTGGCGGCCTGACATCATCCTCTACAACAAGTGGGTTGGGTCTGGTGGGTCCCCCCCCACCCCTCACCCCTCCTGGAGCTCCAGGGGGTTCAGGCTGGGGCTGGGGGCCTGCCCCCAGGTGTTGCTGACCT